AAAATTGAAACGCAGAGGATTTAAATTTTAGTATACATTTATTAAATTATATAGGTTAGTCGGCACGAACTTTTCAGACAACCCAATATAATTCGTCCTTCTCTGTACTTATAATACTATACTTAAATACAATTACAAAATATAACTTTATAAAGATGAATAATTGTGTTGAATATTGAATGTACGAACATTAACATTGTGTAAAGAAACAATCTCGGAAATAATGGTAAAAAAATAATTTTCATGAGATAAAGAGATAATGATAAATCTTTCCAATGTTCAACAGAACGGTGTATCGCAAATATCACCGAGAAATCTTCTAATGATAAGTGAAGGCAGCATCTTTTCAGGGTGGAAGATGACGTCGCCAAAAAGTGTCAAGGCACACAAGATGGAGACTGCAATTAGAAGCTGGACGGCGAAACCGATTCTAAGCTCGGATTTTACAGAAGCTCTTCCGCTGCAGGAGGTCTATGTGGGTATTTTGAAACAACGGAAGAATATCTCTACTGCAATTAGAAGTATATCTACCATTTTGCCAGGATTCGCTCATCTAAAGCGCTGTTCCAATGGGAAATTGCTTTTGGCTCCGCTTCATTCGGATGAATTATCACGTGAGAAAGGCCATGATATTTCTCTCGGTGAAAATCAACTTAAAACTCAGTTGAAAGAGAGAGGATTCGATCTCTCTTTGCTGGAAGAGAAATTCCAAATGACGAAGGTGCCAGCCAAGGCACCAAGGACGAAGATACAGGCCAGTGAAGCTTCGAAAATCTGGCCGGTAAATTTCCATCCTGATCAAACAGTTGAGAGTCTAATCGACGGCTCGATCTTCAACGACGATTGTTTATACGCAATCGAGCGAATCATGTCATTGGTAATAGAGACTGCCAGGTTGGAGGCGGTCGGCAACGAGCGCTGTACCGGCGCCGCAGCGATCATCGATCCCAAGGATGGAAGAATCCTGGCGGTGGCTGCCGCGAAAATTGATAGACATCCTATGTGGCATGCCGCCATGTTGGTGGTGGATCTTATTGCTAGACTTCACGGTGGTGGTGCATGGAAATTGAACGAGGAATGCGAAGAAACGAAGAGACAAACAGATGTTATCGAGGAAGATAAATTTGGCGATGAAAGAACAAATTCAAATATTACGACTGAAGATCAGATCTCGAAGAGGTTAAGAAGAATCAAGAGAAGATACGAAGAAGAGACACCGCTCTGTTATCCGAAATCTCTAGCTTCGCTAAAGTTTCCGGTTCAAACGTCCCTCGAGCCGCAAGTTGTGCGAAAAGGGCGAAGAAATAACGGTGTCAAAATCGAGAATTCGAAGCAAAAGGAATGCGAAGATAACATGAAGAAATGCGGACCATATCTCTGCACGGGTTATTGGGCATTCCTACTGATGGAACCGTGTCCTCTGTGTGCCATGGCATTGCTGCATTCCAGAGTCGCGCGAATTTTTTATGGTACGGCCAATCAAAATGTCGGAGTTTTGGGCTCCAAGACGATTTTACATACGGTACCAGGCCTAAACCATCGATATCGAGTTTGGAGCGGAATCCTTGAACGGGAATGTCGACAAACAGTGGAAGAAATCAATGCTCGCAGAAGTCGTAGTTGAATAACAAATTCGACGCGGCTCTATTGTGAAAGATAATGATACTCTAAGTGACTGCACGGACAATTGATCATCGCAATCTCCGGGAATAACTGATGATATTGATGTCGCAAAACCGGACAAAACAAAAAGGAGTGAAAAACATATATTTTGTTTTTACTTGATATTTTCTGTTTGTTTGTTTGTTGTTTCTTCTTGTGCGAATTACGTTATTTATACAGATGACATTACATATAGTGACATTTTTATCATATGTTATTTCACTTGCATAACATATTATGCATTCATGCGATGTCATAAAAAAATAAATCCAATAAAAAAATGCAATTGTGACACCTATCAATACATCACGCGACTGACTTCTTCAATATTTCTCTCATGATATTATTCCAAAAAGACTATCGAATTCATTACTTAACTTAAGACTCCTGTTCACCACTACTATCTCACAAATTGTAATTTCCGAAATGAAAAAAACATTTTCTGCAAAATCTGACATTTTTTGCAAATTATATTTGAATAGAATTATTTTTCTATAAAGCAATATTTGCAATCGATAGAGAATAAAGTTATAAAATATATACTGAAAATTATCTTCTTGTCTTAAAGCAAAATTAAAAATCATATCATCATTTATATTATTAATTTAACAATTTTATAACTGTGAACATAATTAATTTTATTTTTTAGTTATGCATCATTCATTTTCAGTATTCTCGAATCTGTGATGTGATACTTAATGGTATCGCATTAAGAGCTGTCTTATTGAAATATATTTAATATTGAAAAACATTAAAATATTTTACAAGAATTTTTTATTGTATATTTTCTTGTTTCTAATGTCACAGTTTGTGATAATAGTGATAAGTGAACGAGAGCTTTAAAATGTTCCTCAGGAAATTTATTAAACAAATAAATTATTTCATATTTATCAACGGTGGATTTTTACTTCGATCTCCATCGATTCTGCGACAGCAACTTAGATTCTTGCATGCTGCAACCGGTTTTATAATTCCAATCGAAAGCAACACGGCGCAAAAGACTACACATGGTATGGACATGCATTCGGCTATAATGACTCTCGATATATGCGTGACCTTGACGCATTGACGCGTACATGTGCGTCCGCATCTGCTGTCGCTTCTAGGTGTACACCAGTGTGCACGGCGAATTAACACTTATGTTTACTGACACACACTACGTGACGTTCCATCATTTCCTAAAGATTGTGAAAATCATTTCTGTATACCTATTCTTTTGTCTTTTGCTCTCAATGGCAGAGCGTATCCTTCAATGCAAATGCCGGGTTTTGAAACGCTTGGCCCATAGCCAAGATATTTTTTACTCGAGGTTTCCAATAGACTATTTTAAAAGAGGGAACTCAATTTTTGGTCGGCTACAATAAAAAATTGAATTTAATGACCAGATTACGAATTGTTCTTCAATCAATTTTGAATCATTATTTATTACACACGATTTCGAGAATTGCTTCTTTAATGAAAATTTCTGCAAGGTTCATATATCCATAATTGTAAGACAGGCCCGAACGTTACACTACTTCAACATTCATTATTCGATAGCACAATTCATAAATTTGCGCACACAATCATAAATCATCGGTATAATTTATGCGCGCCTAATCATTTAACTCTATACTTCATGCCATGTCAAATCGTTTAATTCAGAGGCAAATAATGTTTCTCCACAATAATATACAATCTTATTTGTCACTTATTTTTTTCTTGTACGGATTTCCCAGACATATTCACTGTAATTATCTCTTTACAAGAGATGCTGATAATAAGCACATGCAGATCGACGATGAATTTGTCAAAATGCTCGTGGAATAGATAACATTTTCAAGTTGTAAGATAACATTGATACATAACTTGATAATATTATGATATATGTATATAAACAGTATATAAATAAAGTATATAAATAAAATAAAATTTGATAGCTTTCACGAATCGCTCAGGTTTACGTGCAATTTTATCGATAATACAGTTTAATGACACTTGAGAGCACACAGTACAGTCTGTGAAAAGTGCAAATATACAATAATTAATTAAGAGACATTTATTTGTTGTTACGTCAGTAAAAAAACTAATAGTGTTTTCTCTTGACTGCATTATCGTCTATCAGTGCAACATTCAAATAGTGTAGCATGTTTCCTTGGCTGGTGGTAGACAAACTCATTCAGTGTAACATGTTTCCGTGGCTATAGTGTAGTGTAAATTTTATGCACGAAGTGGGATTTTGCTACACGATCTCAAAGAGACGGTGTAGAGCCAGTGTGACATTAAAAATTTGAAAATGGAAGTCAATCGGCAGCAGAATTAAATACGATAGCATGAAGTGGTGTACATCATGATGTATATATACTGTGTAATGCAGCACTTACATGCAATTGGTGTAGATAGTGCGAGGTTACACTCAATGTATCCCAAGAGAAAATGCTATAATATATCTCAGCAAAGCGCGTTCTACTCGTTCCCATAAATAGGCATTACACATTTTCGATGTGACAAGCAGAAACAGTTTGTACATATATAGATATTTATACAGTTGTTTACAATTTGATCATTTGCATAAATCAATATAAATATTGGGCGATTTTATTTTAATGTTTCGACACTGGCATTAATTAAAATAATGTGAATCAAATATAGATATATATTTAAGCAAATATTAATAAAATAAAAAATTTCTTAAAATTTAAATAATATTTAGAAATTTCTTAAAATTTCTTAAAATTTAAATAATAATTAGAGATTAACAACTAAAAATTATAAATAATAAATAATTCCTTGTTGCGGTAAAATAAATGTTGAATTCTCTCGATGTTGCAACGGTTATTATGATTTTACGCCAATCTTTTAGATTTTTATAATTTCTAATGTATGATTCAAAAATTGATGTAAATATAAATCTTCTCCTGCAGTCAGGAATTTTTGTGTTGAATAAAAAATAACGATGCTCATTGTGCACAACTTTGTTTATTACGAGTCAGGTCGTGACTCGTCACGATAAACTCAGACGAGTTGAAGCAAACGTTGTGGTCGTTGATCTGAAAGAAATCCGAATGCAAAGTACAAAGCAATATTATATATACGTCTACAACAAGAGAGTGATTAAAAAATATTGTTAGGCTATCTAATATCTTTGAAGGGATTTTTATCTCAATGTATATTTTATAAACTAAATTTTCCTATAGACTTTTGGCAGCAAGGATTTTATATATACTATATAAAATCTTACAATTTTGAATAAAAAATATTTAGATGTATATCAATCTTGAAAAAATATATTTTTTACGTAACTATAGGAATAAAAAAAATGATATCACTAAAGTGTGAAGTTTGTCACATGAATAACATGAAAATTACATGACATATTAATGTCGCTAATGGAGATATTCATCATTTTCCATAGAAGATGACACATGATCTGCACAGTCGGAATTTTTTTTCTTTGACAATATGCAAGCGCGTTCGCAATTCTAGGAATTGCTTGAGTCGCTATAAACCGAGTAGCGAGTACGCGATGACCCTACGGATTGACATCGATCAACGAAACTACAGCTGATCCATTCCGGAGGAGAGTTGCTCGATTGTTCATGAAAAGAGAAAAGGAAGAAGCGAGAGAGGTGGACATGATGTATGAAAAAGTCGTGAACTACAATTGTGACACGAAGAAAACAAATCATGTTTATACAATAGCTGATGAAGAGAGCTGCTAACAATAAATGATGATTTTATAATGAAAATTTCATATATTTTATATGAGAAAGCTTTAAATCTTGACAAAAATGTATTTTAATATAACGTGTTATATTTTAATTTAATGTAACGTGAATTGTGTGCCAAAAATAATAAAAATAAATACTTTTACAATTTTATTTGTTTCACTGTCAATAGTGAGATCATGAACATCGCTGTCACTTTTATTGTTTCAGATCTTCATCAAGTTGATGCAGAAACTTTCCGAATAAAACACACAAACAGGAAAATTTCATGGTAAATTGAGAAAGATCAAACGTGAATCACAAACAGTGTTAGATTTCTTCTACAAACAGAGCACGATCGGGCAGGAGATCTGATCGAGAAGTAATGTCCTCGGGAAATATTCTTTGAACAACCGATACGTGGCAACTCTGATAGACACATCGGCACCGCATCATCGTGACGTTCAGAGACGATCAGCAGAAACTGCGCGCGAAACAAAAGAGAACCCGAGAAGCGTCTTCCAGACGAGCGTGCAGAAGGAGAAACTTTCGAGGCCGTTGTGTCGTGCGAAAAGCTACGATATTAGAGATAACGTTTTGAAATTAATTAATCCGCGTGGCAAACAGGCTCGTCGCTCTTACGACGTGTCTGTCGAGTCGACACTGGCAGTCGTAATCGTTGGCTGCCAGTTGCATACTACGTCAATTTGCGAAGTACCGCGGCTGGCCTCATTTTCGCGTCGTTGAATAATTCTGTCTTAGAATAGATTCTAATATCTCTAGATGACCGTGGAAATTTTCAGTGTCTTCAGCAACGAGACACGTAATTCATAATAATACATTCCTCCGATGATCATTGTGACGTCTTAACTGATAACTAATACAAATAAGCTTCTCGCAGTTGCTCGAATTCGCGATGTCTGCAACCAGAAGATAAGTTGAAGGCTGCGCATCTTCGAGATAAATTACTGGACTATCACAGCGAGTACAAAACTGCAAATGATAAATTTAATTCGTTCGTAACGCAAGAAGAGAGTTTTTGAGGCATTAGAATCTTCAGGTGACGAATTGCGAATTTGCAAGACGACGTGATCAGCACGAGACAACGCTAGAGGATAAAGGAAACGCGTCTCGTTGATCAACACTGAGTGGTACCAATTGAGAGTCGACCCTCGAGAGTGGAGCCTATTGGCCAAGCTGTTAATTCCTTGAAGCACGGTTGGATTGGATCACTCGTGGACATTCCAGAGTTCGTGTCGGGACCGTTAGGCAATCTATCGACTACCGTCTTGCTAGCCGGACTTCTTTTCCCGAAGAAGATCCGGAACTTTGTATCCTAAAGCTCAACAAGAAGGATTAACTGTCTGTGGATTTTTAGTGATTGTTCACTGGAAAACATATTGAGCAGTTTAAGAACGAAGAGGGAAACATTTAAACCAAAGTGAGATTAACAAGTCATCAGCAGTGAAGAAATCTCAAAACAACATCATATTTATTAGAGAGGATTATAAGGTGCTTCTCGTGCATTAGCGATTACAAAGAGGAAGATTTTGACCACATCTGAGAGAGTCTCGACGACTGAATGGCCCACATTTACTGGCTGCTACTTTTCGAAAGACTTTGATAGTGTCTTTTTGCGGAGGTAACGGCAGGGATACGATATTAAAAGAGAGAAAGACGCGGGCATATCGTCAAGAGGGTTAAATCTCTTTGGTCTTACCAGGAGAGCCTTCGCTTTGCAGATTGTTCTTTAGAAGAACCAGATTTCCATTTGCCACCGAGAAGATTTTGAAACGTAGTGAACGAAACTCAAACTTCCATTGACGTCATTCACAAGAGGCCTCGTTCATTTCCTCCTGGCTTGGATTCTTTTTTTAGACGGCACCATGGAGCAAAGGATCATGAAAATGTGGTGATAACGGTCAGGCGGAGGCCTCCGATATCCAAGACACTATCCAGTGTGTGAGCCATAGTCGTTAGAAAGCAATCGAAACATATGTAACGTTGAGCCTATTCAGAAATTTCGGGGACATCCGCCAGTTAGAATTTTTTACATTTTCACGAGAAGCAGATTCTTTTGGATAAGGATTACTCTGTTATTATCTTTAACGTCTCTGACTAAAATATTGGGAATTATAACAACACTACAACTGCTTAGATCCAAGGAGGCGTAAAAGTTTCGAAACATCAAAGCTTCGATTTGATCTTCTACAGACACAAGATCTTGATAAGATAATTAAGGTGTGTCACGCGGATACTCGTCTACCTCGGGAATATTTTTGGAGATACAGAATTGACATTCTTTTCTTTCGTATTTCGTTACAATATTTTTTAAGCGATTCTTATCTAAGGTGGAGAAGATACTAGACAAAAGGCATCGATCGTTAAAACGAATAGAAGAAGGTTTGTAAAATATTAAATATAACATAATATTAAAAACATGATATTAAAAATTATGTTTTATATTAAAAAAAACTTTAAGAGAAATTTCGCAATTATGAAACAATATAGGCTATAGAATATTAATGTGATGGAAAAAATTTCTCTATTATGTAAGAAGGAATCTAACTATAATTATAAATCGTTGTAAATTATCTATTAACTTCTAGAAGCATGAAACAATTAAAGAAGCTGATTTATACAAAAAAAAATCGATTATCGCGAAACCGTTTTATGCTTTTGCGTCAATCACACATAGCTTCAATTGATGTCAAACAGTGGCAAGTTATTCTGAGAAACAACTATAGTCTTTTTGTTACTTAAATCTTATATGAGCATTTAATGAACACGCTATTAATCACCGAATATAGAAGGATTCGATTATTGAGAATGAACATCGATCGATCAAATGACTAATCAACGTAGATTATATTACGTATAATATGTTAAACACTTGTTTATGATGTTAAAAAGCGCCATCATTATTTTAAGAAATGATTTAAAGGATGACAACTTAAAAACATTCGCAATTTTTATATATTTATAATTTTTTCGTTTATAAAATGATCAATGTTATTATTTTATTTTTATATGTTTTAATGTTATAAATTTTAACGTAAACTATTTTTTGGTAAAGGATATTAAATATTAAACATTTTATATTTTAAATAATTTCGTAGATTTGGAACAGAAATCTATGTCTTACAATATATTATAATCTTTTTTATTAATTTGTGACGTGATGCAATTAACATATTATATAATCGTTATTAAAATTTTAATAAATAGAATGTAGTAAGATTTATTATCTTGATAAATCATTTTAATAAATGTCAAACGAAATTAGCTTGTTAACTGAGTATTATTTTTACTTCCAAATTAATCATATGTTATTCGCAGGAAAAGGTTCTCCGCCGAAACGGCAGCAAAACTTCAGCACAACTAAAAACAAAATGCGTTGCAGCCAAGGCGTGGCAATGGTATTCGAGGACGCGTTCGTCGTCTTTTCGCGTTTTTTGTCACTGAAATCGCGAGGCTGTGCACTCTTGGAAACACATCGGCAGCGTGAGACTACCGGCATCAAGAAACTGTACAACAGCTTCTTCGTGATGTTCTAAGAGTAGGCATATCAGCACGCGTACTCGGCCCTGATAATCACCGGCGGTCGGGTGATGCACCGTGTATTTCCGGGCATCGAAGATCTGAACCAAGGGGTACCCATAGGGTGGACACACAGCACGATCTGCAATAGGCGCGAAAGGCACACGTGGTGAAATGGAATGAGTGCTTATTGCGACTAGAGAACAGACAGAGGCGAAGATCATCGATTTGTGATTTGAGAGCAGCGTGGACTCGTCGCCTTTTACAGAATCGCCAAGAAACACAATCACCAAATTCATTTTCGCATATACATATGTACAGCATGTAAAATGGTAGAGTTATAATTCATAAGTCAAGAAATGTCGTCCACATCTTCTCATTCTTGAAGAGAAGGATCTTTTGGCGCTAGAGAATTGATATTTGCCGACGGAGTCTCTTTAAGTCTCTTACGATTGAAGACCAGTACCCTTGGTAGATCTGAGATCAAAAATTAATATATAAATATTTCTTATCCGGAAATCGCTACAGGCAAACCCGTTGGTGTCGCAGTACGTAGATTGTAGGCGATAATTAAGTCGATCACGTGTGCTCTGAGAAGTTGTTGAATGGAATTGCAACTCATGATGGATGGTGGCGCGGAAATCCTACACGGAACGATGTGGTTTTCCAACACATCTCCGTCATATGAGCAATTATCACCGGTTCATCCAAATAGATGTGACGTTGTAGCTAACTCTCAACAGGTACGTCGAATAATTATTTCTCTCTCATCAAATTTATTCTAATAAATTATAAATGATCATATACTTGAAATTATACTTTAAATGATAATATTTATATACGTTTCCACCGATTTTAATTTTTTTTTTAAAGGATTCTTTTTTTAAAAAGAAATTTTTTATCCAGTTTTAGATTTTTTTAAATAATTATATTTCAAAAGTTTAGATTTCTATATTAATTGGTTGAATGCGGATTATAAGAATCGATATAATATATTACTCTTGAAGAGTAAAATTAAACTTACAATTAATCAAAGATATAAAATTGTAAAACGAGAAGTTTATGTAAACGTTACAAGATATTTCATATTCTCTATTTTTTAAATCTAATTTTTATTTCATATTACATCTTGATACAATAAACAAAATTTTCCGATGTCAATGCATAAATTAAAAACTTTAGAAGAAATTGCCGATATTGATACAGGTTATCTCCCTAATTTCTTGAAAACTAAACATTGCACTTTATTATATTATAATAAAAAATATTATAATAAAAATACTATAATAAAAAAACATGATCTGTTTAGATAATTAAAAAAGTAAAAATTTCTAATTCGAATATTTATAATGTGTTTCCATATAAAATCAATTAAAAACAAATTCTACAAATATAAAAATAAAATTCTTACAATTTTCTTTTGCTTCATAGTATATGATTAATAATATTAGATCGTTTTACTTATTTGTAGTTTTCTAAATCTGATTTATTTATATTTTTCTTATCATAAAAACGGTTAATATATGAACTAATAAAAAAAATTATTATCCATTAAATTTAATTTTTTATTACATGAAAAGAAGGATCAGAAATTTAATTCATATTAAACTCATTTCAAATTCACGTAATGTTGATAATTCGGTCTTTAATTCCATAAATAATAATAAAAAATTGTATGTAGTGTCATTTATACTAATGTGTCTAATTCCGTCACTTCGTTTTTTAATAAATCTACATTCACTATAGAAATTTGAATAAATTAAGTTCTTTTATTAAGGTACACAAAGATAAATTAGATAAATTTTTTGTTCAAAATGTTGTTTATAAAACTAATAATAATGATTACGAAGCGTCATGTGTAAGACAAACTAAGAGACAGCTTAAAATCCAAACAATATCAATCATGATTTGTCTAGATATTTGATTATTATAGAACACATTTTAAATTATAACCATATTTTTGATTGGGAAAGAACTGCAATTCTCGAAATATTGAAATAAATTATAATGAATTATAATGAATTATAATTATAAAAAGATGATCTTTGAAATGTTACATATCAAAGGGAGCAAACAAAAGGCCCCAAAAGACCCAAAAAGACAGGAAATGTCTTGACGAATCATATTGCTATCTATTAAAATTTTTTTCTAATAACAATAAATAAATATATTATATATTATATAAA